TTTTTGTTGTAGTTCTTTGTGTTTCCCTTCCCCTCCCTTGGGTTTGTGCGCCGCCCTGAGTCCCGCTGGGAATAGGGCGGCATATAAATAAAATGAACCTTGAACCTTCCCTGAAGCCTCCGGAGCGCAAAAACCCAGCCATATGGGCAAACCGAAAGTTCAGGAATGGACTTCTGGTTTGCTCGTAGGGCTGCTTTTAGTCCTCCGGAGCCTTCAGGGACCTTGAGAAGGCTTCCCTGAAGGCTCCGGAGGATGAAAATCCACCCTACGAGCAAACGATCCTATGAGCAAACGGGAAGTCACCATTCCCCAACTTCCGGTTTACCTGTAGGGCTGGTTTTTTTGTGCTCCGAAGGCTTCAGAGAAGCTCCTGAAGCCTCCCGAGAGCCTCAGGGGTGGGGGAGGATGTTTTCGCCCTCCCCAGGCTCCTATAAAGCCCCTGGAGTCTGGGGAGAGCAAAAAATGGCCTCAAAAAAAAGGCTGGCCAGCGCACATATGCCTAAATCACTTTTTTTCAGTGTTGTCTTTACTTCAAACAGTCATTAGATGAGAGGTTGTAAGTTGAGGACTACCTGTGTTTGATTCCCATAATTCTCATGACAAATCTGAAATTTAAAGCAGCAATGGGGAACTATGGCCTCTTTATGACTCGTGAACTTCGACTTGTAAAGCCCACAAGTCATAAAAGGGACACACCATCCCATGTTCAAAATGGCCATCAGCATTTCTGTTGTGGCCTGTGGGAGTCAGGGTCAGCATCAAGGCAACCTGAGATCTCTGAGGGGGAAGAGGGAGTGGAGCTGGTAGAGAGAGAGAGACAGAGGCGGTGCCTGGGCCGTCCGTCATCCCTCAGATGGAGAGTCAACAGCCCTCAGGTCGGGAGGTGGCTGATGAGGAAGAGGAGGAACAGCTGGGTCCAGTGCCTGACGCACAGAAGGCAGAGGAGAGGAGAGCAGTGGAAATCTATGGGCTGATCCTCGGAACGTAAAAGCCACCGCTGCTAGCGAAGCCCCACCCTAGGTCTGGAGATAAAAGGCAGGGGGAGGAGCTGAATAGATGTGGCAGACAACTACCGTATTTTTCAGAGTATAAGACGCACCGGAATATAAGACGCAGCAAGGTTTTGAAAAGAAAAATTAAAAAATAAGTTTTTGCACTCTGCAAACCTCCTAAACTTAGCCTGTTTTTCACAAAAATGGGCCTGTTTCCCCCCCCCCCAAAGGACATGAATAGTCCTTAGGAGGCTTGTAGAGTACTCCTGGGGAGGGGGTAAAAACGAGCAAAAAATGGCCCATTTTTCATGAAAACTGGCTCGTTTTTGTCAAAAAAAGGGCATGGATAGCTTTTAGGAAACTTATAGAATGCTGCTGAGGGCTGGGAGGGCAAAAAACAGGCTGTTTTTCACTCATTTCTGCCCTCCCCAGCCCACAGGAGCTCTCGGAAGCCTCCTAAAGGCTCTGCACGGCCATTTTGGTGAAGGGGGCGGAGTTTCAGGAGGCAAAAAGTGCTGTATTCAGTGTATGACACGCCCAGATTTTCAGCCTCTTTTTTGGAGGGAAAAAGGTGCTCTGAAAAATACAGTATTCATCTCCCTGCAGGACGGACTTGTTAACCTGCGGTGAGGGAGAAGCTTTTTGCCAGGGCTGCCAGCGCAGGGTTGGTCGTGTTTGGGGAGGGTTGGTAGTGTTTGGGGAGCTGAGTCAGAACAATTTCTCATTTAATGTACTACCACGTTCTTACATTCCCGTGTCTGTTCTTCTTTGTTTCCCCTCCCTAGCCTTCACCTACTTTTACAAGGGAGACCGTTACTGGAAGTTTAACAATGAGAACCTCAAGGTCGAACCGGGCTACCCCAAGTCGGTGTTGCGAGACTGGATGGGATGCGCCACCGATGACCGTCGCGAGGGAGAAGAAGTCATCATCATTGAGGTGGACAATGCTGAGGAAGGCGGGCTGAACGCCGCCACGGTGGTGATCCCCGTCCTGCTACTCCTCACCATCTGCGCCGTGGGAGTTGCCATTCTGATCTTCAAGCGTTACGGCACGCCCAAACGGTTACTCTATTGCCAGCGGTCTCTGCTGGACAAGGTGTGACCGTCCTTTGGGGATGTTTCAGGAGGACAGGTCTCACCTGCTTTTCCACCCTGTCTACCTGCCTGTCACAATTCGGGTCCGGTCTCTTTGTCGCCACCTTTCGAGTCGTCGTTCTCCTGGCACTCCATTCCTCCCTGCTTCTCCGTTCCATTTTCTGTCGGACATCTTGTCCAGCTCGCCTGTTTGCCAGCCATCAGCCACGTTCTCTCTCTCTCTCTCTCCAAGAGCTTTTCTTGACGATAATGGTCCTCCTTCTTTCCTTCCTGTCTTCCCCACAGTCCTCTCTTTCCTTCCAATGGCGTTTCTGTTATCCGTTCTCACCTCACTGGCCAAGTGGGTGTGCTGAGCGCACCCCTTAATTAATCCGATGAGGCAGAAAGTTGAGGGAGCCCACTCTACGGGGGTTATGGCCAGGCCAACCTCATGGCTACCCATTTGTTGACCTCGGTAGAGAAAGGACACATCTCCTGACCTTCCCGCTTGCAAAACCGGCGGGCCGAAATCCATACCGCAAACACTGTTCATCCTCCTGACCGTCCCGTGGAATTTCAAATCTAAAAATTGGTCTCTAGGTCTCTCTCTGGCCACCTTGCTGGTCCTTCCTTCCGAGGGCAAACGGTGGAGAACCATCTCGCCGAACCAGTAAACCGCAATGGGTGGGGAAGTTGCAAGTGGTGGCTCGTTGGTGGGTGAAGAGGTGATAAGAGCTCATATCTAGAGACCCATGGATCTAGAAGGGAATCACAGGGGATCTTCTCCTTCCAATTGGGCGAGAGGAAAGGAAGAACCATGGCTGCTGACCGGCGATGGTGTCTACCAATCCGACATAGCAGGGAAGAAAATGGGTGGGCCGCTAGGGTTGGAAACGTCATCTTTCCTTGGGGACGGTGGGGTAGCGAAGAATCATAAAGGGCCTAACTGGTCAGGTGGGAAAGGGGGTGGTGGGGGTTAAGCCGAGCTTTCCTCATGACGTAAGGAAGTGGACCATTGGTATCTTGTTCATATTGGAAAATGGGGCATGTTTGAGAGAGAAAGGGAGGGAGGGAGGGAGGGAGGGAGGGACCAAGATTACGTGGGCTATGCAGGAGATGTTTGCCGAGACCAGTTGTCCCATCTGGGTGCCTTCCATTGGTTAAGATCCAGGGTCGTTCAAAAAGTCAAGATGGCTACCATCCTTGACCGCCATCTTGATTATTATTTTTGGTTTGGAACCGCTCCCGTGGGCACCCCAGGTTAGGACTCATTTTTCAAGGCTTGTCGGACATTTTGGCCAAGAATTTGGGGATGGAGTCCTCCGTTTCCCTGGAGGGCACCTGTCTGGGGATGAGGTTGACCCACCAAATCCAGATGTTGGCAGGGCCGCTTCTGGAAGTGTTAACCTCTCCATCTGACGATATTAACCTGGTGTTTACAGTTGTCCCTTAAAACAGGGACTCCCCAACCTTAAGACTTACGGACTTCAACTCCCAGAATTCCCCAGCCAGCACGGCTGTCTTGAGGGATTCTGGGAGTTGAAGTCCACTGGCATTGTCATTTTTCCCCCCCATTATAGGTGTATATTTATTAATACAGATAAAAGAGCGTACAACACTGTTAGAAAGCAACTCATTTTTGACAAACATAACCAGACACACATTAGACTGAACAAGCATCAGAACCTCTTGAAGGCAGAAGACACAGTTTTGCCCCCTTGGAAAGGTGGGGAATTCCACACTGTGCGCTTGAAATGACGTGGCTTGATCTTATCAAAGATTTCTTCCAACTTGGGTCTCTTCTTGACCAACTTCCGCTCTTTTTCTTCCATTTCTTTCTTGAGCCTCTCTTTTTCTTTAGCTGCTTGCAAAACCTCTCTCTGGAAGCGTGCAGCCTTTTCTTTTTTCTTGCTGTTCATGCTTCCCCTGGGCCTGGATCTTTTCCTGCTCTTTCTTCTTCTCCAGTTCTCTCTTAGCAGACAGTTCTTTTTCTCTTTCCAGTTCAGCCTTGAGTTGTTCTGTGATTTTTCCTGCTCTTTCCTGATCGTCCTCTCTTTTCTTCTGCATCAATTCCAGGGGTGGGTTGCTGCCGGTCCCCGACGGTTCTTGCGAACCGGTTGGTCACTGGACCCGGAAGTAAGCCGGCACTGTATAAGCGTCCCGGCCGGTATTTTGTCCCTTCTGTCTCCCCGTTGCTCAGAAAACAAACTGCAGGAAGGTCCTTTGGTGGCGGCAGCCATCCTGGAGCCTGCCTGCTTGCAAAGGACCTTCCCGAAGCTGCTTTTCTGAGCAACGGGGAGACAGAAGGGACAAAATACCGGCCGGGACGCTTATACAGTGCCGGCTTACTTCCGGGTCCAGTGACCAACCGGTTCGCAAGAACCGTCGGGGACCGGCAGCA